AGGAAAAATACATATTTTACTAATTATAATTAGTAAAAAATTTAAGCGTTGCATTATTTTTGATTGCCACTGTATATCTATATAAAATATTATTTAATTTATATTTAATATATAATTTAATTAGTAAAATATTAAGTATTATATTAAATAAATTAATAAAATATTAGATATTATATTAATTTATTTAATATAATATTTTATTTTATATAATTTAAAATATTAATAAAAAATTAAAAAACTAAAATATATATATAAAATAATTAAAAATATAATATAAAATAATTAATATCATATTAAATATGATAAATAGATAAATTAATTAAAAATATAAAAAAATTATATAAATAATAATAAAATAATAAATGAATTGATAATAAATTATAGAATTTTTATTTTTCTAAATATAATTTTATTTTAATAATATAGAAAGATAATATAATTTTTATAATATTATTTTATTATTTTTAAAGTTTATAAAAAATAATTAAAGAATAAAAAAAAATTAAAAGAAAACTATTATTAAGACAGAATTATTTAATTAGTATTATATTATAGATGAAATATAAAATGCTAATAAAGAATAAATAAAATAAATTTTCTAAACTAAAATTTTTTTATTATAATTAAGAGATTTATAACAATTTCAATATAATAATTTGATAAATAAAATTAACTTTATTATAAAACTATAAAAGTGTAATTATAATTAGTTATTTATAAATAATAATTAATTCTATTTAAGTTACAATTTGTATTTATTAATACAGTATAATCATATCTCAATATTTTTATTATATAGTTTAATTGTTTAATAATATGATAAAATTATCAAATAAAATATTTTATTTATAAACCTATCCATTTCGTTAAGCCAAGGCTGCCAAAACCACTATTGCACCAACAATGGCGAAAATTAATAAAAGACAACACATCCGATTTCGAGCCTTCTTTTGATATAGCTCAGCAACAGATAACTCCTCGGTCGCATTTCTCATATTAGATGAAATATTGTCGACATTACTCTCAATGTTATCTATTATAGAATTAATTACCAGAAATAATTAAGAATTTTGAAATATAAAATTTATGCCAAAATGACTTTACATACCCAACATTGATTGCTGTTCCGTTACTAAAGTACCCAGATCTCTAAAGATCTCATTAAGTTCGTTGATTCCTTGTTCTATTTCTCTAATTTCTTCCTCACGTTCTGCTATCAATGAATCATTGTATTCTATTTCATTATCAAGAACTTGGACCTGAAGACGACGTTGTGAGTCATCAATAAGAGGCTGTTCTTCCGCGATACCCGCTTCTTCGTCACTATATAAATATATTGTGATTATTTTATATAGATACTGGAACAAATATTTTTCGCGAAATTCCGAATTTCACAAGAAAAACCTTTTTACTTACTAAAAATCATTACGAACATTATGAGCTTTCACTTTGTCAACATATTCTCGCTGTTTCTCAGCAGATAGTCTTTGTACTTTCTGAAATTCTTGAAGTGTCTTTTGGAAATCTTGTGAAAGTTTTTGCTGTTCACGCTTTTGTTGTGCCCGCTATGATTAATAAATTGAAGAAAGTGAGTAAAGATGACACAATCAGAATATTTAAATGAAGAAATAAATTATTTTAATACCTTGATTTCGGTCTGTCCGCTACTTCCTTCAAGGTGAGATAGTTTTTTAATATCGTTACTTGTGTCTTTGACCAGATCACGCGTGTCGTCGGTCAATTTGTGTCTAATTAATTATTTTCCATAAAAGAAATTTTGAAATTTATTTATTTAACATCCCCAAATATGTCAACGAACATGAAATCTCTCAAACGATATACTTACAATCTAGCCCTTAGCTCCGGCGTATCTTTTGCTGTTCCCAAAAGTCCCACTAGTTTCTGTATCGAAGCCACATTACTAGTGATGTCAAAAATTTGTTGAGATAGATTTATTTTTAAAGCTTTATATTGTCTATCGTCGTCTAATGTTTGGAGGGATACTACAAATTTTAGTATTCAATATCCGATGAGTTCCGAAGAGCCTGAAATATCTTAGAAGCAACAATTTCGTAAGGGTAGATAAATTGGCAATATTTCCAAGTGCTATCCGTAAACAATTGACTACATTTGGTTGACTAAAGAGTATAATAATATTAAGTCATGCAAGTGTGTAAAAACTTACCACCTGAAGAAGGCCCAGAAGTTCCATAATGACGTCCACTACGGGAACCATAAGCATTTCTATCCTCACCTCTTTCCAAATCATTGAAAGACATTTTGCTAGATTAATAAAGAAAACTAAGGAAGAATACAATCTATGTTATGATCTTTTCCATCTTGGCATTTTCCATTGTCTGTAGGATTTGTGTAATTTCATTTTAAGCACACACGTGGAAACAGCTTCTAGAATCATTTGTGTTATAAGGCGTAAACCAAAAAAATCATCTATATTTTATCTCATCTTTTACTTAATAAAAAGTATCATGTCAAACCCAGAGGCATCTTTTAGTAGACGGCATACTATGACCGATGCAGAATTAGTCGAGATAAGGTAACAAGTATAAAGGAAAGATGGTGAAATGTTTGCTTCTATGTTACAAAACTTAATACTTCTTTTTCTTTATGAAACTTATCGTATAGAGGTAAGAACGTGTGTAATCGATCGTAAATGAAGCTGATGGCAACAAATTAGTATTACTATCGAAACTGAAACTTAATCGTTTATAAAATTCTATCGGGCAGCTCGTCAAAGAACTTTTGAAGGAGCGTACTGGCGCACGTGTCTATCCGCTTTTGGATTTGCATTAGTCGTTTTACGCATCTTTGAGCCAGCATTCTATCGGATTGGGCTTGTATTTGTTGCATATGGTGGGGTTATGCTGTGTATTGCAGCTATTCGACGCCAACATAACATGGATGTCTTCGATTCATCAAAACCATTCGTAACGAGTGGTGGATATGTGTTGCTGGCTGGAATAATGGGTCTCACCACTTACATTGTATTATTAACGATGATTTTGAACATGTAAGTAAATTCTAATCAATGAAATATTATTTCGATTTGATAATTTGTCAAGTATCTATATTAATTTAATTTATTATTTGTTTATGCTAATCGTGAAATCTAGGCATTGATGATATTTATTTGATATTCTAACACAAGTCTATTAAATTATCGAAATCATTTATTATATCTTTCATTATTTATTGGTCTTTGTGATTTTGTGATTTGGGTATAACTAACTATAGAATGCTGATATGACGGCATGATTGTGTTAAGGGGTGCATATAGATATATATATTAGACCTTTTCCCGCATAAGCATATTGATAACACGTGTCGTTGAGTTTTAAGAAATAAAATTAGATCATATCGCGAACCATCCAAGAAAATGATGTTGAGTGGCCTAATATGGTGATGAAATTAAATTATTAAATTTCTTAGTTTCACTAAACCACGTGATCATATTGGAACAAAAACTGATGGTAAAAATAAGTGACTCATATCTCTTATCGCGATGAGAGTAAACTACTGTATTGGTCCATCGGGACGGTTACAAATAACTAGACTCTGGTCATACAGCCTACATATGAATTTTTAGCTACGTAGCGATCGAGAAAGATTTAAACTTTTTGTCAAAACCAAACATTTTTTGTGATCGTTTCTTTTTGAACATTTTATACTTTAAATTTGCATATAATAATAATAACAACTCTATTACTCTCTCTCTCTCTCTCTCTCTGATGTGTTGTTCAACTAGCCTTTAAGTTATTTTTCACTCTTCGCTTCCTCTGTTTAATAATGTCTAGCAATCACAATTCATCACAATCCATTACTGCGCTGAACACTTATACGTTTCATCAAACAAGGTATGCTTATAGTTTTGTTCTCTTCTCTTTTTGCAGTAACTATATACGATATTTTATTTTTGATAGTTTTTCACGAAGAACAGGTAATTCAAGTGTATAAAACGGTCTAACTGGTGAATTATCTTTATTTCTCAAGAAAAACAATGGTTTTTTCCTTATGGTCTTTTCCTTAATGATTTTTTAAGAGAATGATTGAAATATTTTTAATATTTAAAATTTGATCACATAATATAAATACGCTTATCAATTTGAATCATATAGTTTACAAGTATATTAATCGACCTATCTGAATTCTTAGAATCCAGTCTAGTTCTACAGAAGCTGAGGATGAGGATAGTCCGACTGATGTTATCCCTGAACTGGTGGAATCCTCATCGAATGGTCATGTCAATGGGGCAAGACATGATGTTCCATCAGCAACATTAATATCACCCAATGTTAATAATGGATCTCCATCAAGCCAAAACCATACAGCAGCCAAAAGATTATCACCCGCTTCAAGCTCTCCACGGAGTCGCATGCAAAGTAGTGTCGTAGCATCACCATCAAATCATTATAATAACTCACATTATATGAATCCGCCACCAAATCATTATTCCCAAGTTACTTTACCAACCTCATCAAATCCTAATTATAGCATTGCTTCATCACGTGGTCGTCCCAATTCAATGAATCATCATCAAAACTCACCAGCGTTACGTCAATCAATCTCCGTTAATGCTACTAGTAATAGTAATATCCGAGCAAGAAGAAATTTTAAAGGAAATAATCCGCTAAATAATGAACCAATCCTTCCGCCTGCTCCACCTGTTCCTGCAGCACCTGCACCTGCAATGCATTGGTCAAAAATAAAGACGCATGGAAAATCACCTGCTCGTGCACTCCGAGCTCATACTGTAAATTTAGTTGGGGAATCGATGTTCGTGTTCGGAGGGTGTGACGCCCGAACATGTTTTAATAACGTTTATATTTTTGATGCTGGTAAATATGTACATAATTTTGTCCATCCTTAATAATTTAACTTTATTGATGCGAGCTCTTCTATTTCTCACAGATACAATGTATTGGTGTAAACCAAGAGTCTATGGAGATCCACCGCCTGCTTGTCGCGCTCATTCATCAGCGCTCGTGGATAAAAAACTTTATATTTTTGGGGGCGGAGACGGGCCTATTTATTTTAATGACTTGTATATTTTTGATACGGGTAATTATTAAAGATTTTTTATAAATTATTGAATTAATACTAATAAAATTTTATTTCATAGATAGTTTAACTTGGAGTCGGCCATTCACAACAGGAGATATTCCTACACCACGGAGGGCGCACACCACGGCGTATTATAATAATCGTATATATGTGTTTGGTGGTGGTGATGGTGTTCGTGCCCTTAACGATGTTTATGTACTAAACATCTCAAACTTAGTTTGGGAAAAGATAGAGACTTTGGGGTGTCCACCAATATCTAGAGGATATCATACAAGTAATTTGGTGGGGAGCAAATTGGTGGTTTATGGTGGGAGTGACGGACATGAATGTTTTAAAGATGTCCACGTATTAAATTTAGGTAAGTTGGAAATGAATATCGTTTATATTGAATATTAGTTAGAATGCTTAGTGGCTAAACATTGTATGAATAAGTGATATTAACTTAATTATTTAATTTTTAGAAAACAATACATGGCATAATGTTATTAGCATGGAAACTTCTTATCCACGACTCTCGCATACTGCGACACAAATAGGCTCATACCTATTTGTCGTTTGTGGTCATGATGGAACTAAGTATACTTCTGACGTTTTACTTTTAAATTTAGGTAGGTCTTTTTTAACTGTATATACTTTTACGATTCTATTTTTTTTTGGTTAAACTTCAATTATGTTTTTTTCCCAGTCACGATGCAATGGGAGGCTCGTAAAGTTTATGGTACACCGCCTTCCGGTCGAGGCTATCACAGCGCAGTATTATACGATTCGAGGTTATTTGTATTTGGTGGCTACGACGGCCACTCGGTATTTGATGATGTGTTTGTGTTGGACCTCTCAGCGTGTGCATATCTCCCACAAATTACGAATTTCCAATTACCAGGAATATAAAAATAATTGCGGTGATTTATATAATTTTCTAATTTAATATATATTTCTCACTCACAATAGTTCAATTTGTAATCTTCCCGTTATCTAAAGAAAATACAATCGATCACTTGCTCTATCCTCTTTTCTTCCATTTTCATCAATTGCATAAATATATATATACATTCGAGTATTAGAATTTTTAAAGTTTACACGCACCATTTAGACAAGATCCTGTTTTATATCTACAAATTTTCTATTTGAGTTTTATTTATTGTCGGTAGTTAAGAAAATAAATTTTATCAAAGAACAATCATCAAATGATTATATTTTGAAAAAATCACATGACTTCTTCCAAGGCTACCGGAAAAATATGTCATCGGGTGTCACATGAGATACTTTCGGACTCGGATAGATATTGCCAACCAAGGCACGGAAAACCCCAGTGTGGATTCTAAAATCGATCCGGTTTTTAATGTTTCCCCGTATAAAGGTTGCATAATTTGCTGAGATGTAATTCCCTATTTTATCCTGGCTGACTTTCATAACAAATGAGCTCACAAGTTCAAATGCAACGCTTAGCCGAAAGTAAGTAACGAAATTACTATTTTCCCTCTCATTTTAAAACTTTATATAAATATATATGTATGTAACAATTTACAATAATAATACAACAACAGATATTCATCATATAGCTTTTGAAATAAATTAATCCATATATTATTATTGGCAGGTATTAAATTCATTAGCCCTCGTAGAGGAATATCTACTTTTAGTGGTAAATATCATAATTACTAACAAGATAAACACATTTGAGTTTTTCTGCAACCTTAACTTATAACTATTATTCTTTGGGAAAAAAGAAGTGATATCTAGTAAACGATACTTGTATGATGCCAACAAGCAGGAACCGCCTTCATTATTTTACCTTGAAAATGCAATCAACCAAACTTCAATTACATTAAAAAGGTCAGATCCGAAGCTAATAATACTAGATTTGAACGGTACCCTCGTATACCGTGACAAATCACACTCCAATCGAACGTTTCCACGGCCATTTTTGATGCAATTCCTGGACTACATCTTCGAAAGATTTTATGTAATGATATGGTCTTCCGCTTCCCCACATAACGTCAAAAAGATTATCGATGCAGTTTTTCCACCGAGACATTCAAATAACTTGGTTGATGTGTGGGCACGTGATACATTTGGTTTAACGACTTTTCAGTATAATCAAAAATGGCTCACCATAAAAAATTTGGAAATAGTTTGGGATAGACTTAACAGCCAAAATAATAGAGGTCGGGAAAGTCCACCAATATGGAGCCAAAAAAATACGGTGCTAATTGATGATTCGCCGCTTAAAGCTCAATTGCAACCATACAATGCCATCCATATTGATGAATATGACGTAGAACTTCATCGTTCCAGAAGAGACAAAGAATTAAAAGATGTGATTACATATCTATCTAATCTCAGATATGAGAGCAATGTTAGTGCATTTATGAGAAAGAATCCTTATAAACACATATTCAAGAACAAAGAATCCTACACGCAATACTTAAGTGTAATAGAACAAAATGAATCATACAGTAGACAATACTGGCTAGAAAAGCAACGAATAATGGATAGGAATAAGAAGACTGATAATAATAGTAGTAGCCTCTCTGTAAATACGACTAAATTCCAACAACCACGATCAAAGAGACCCAACAATCAACATATTACAACATCGACCTCAATTTATAAAAAATCACGACGAGAAAGGGATGGAGGATACGATAGTAAGAGGTTGTATCGTTATGAAAATTAGTTTTCGGTAGAGTTTTCTAATGACATCGAGTTATTAGATGAATCTGGTGAGAATAATAAAATTTAGAATATAATTTTACATAGCGATGATATTTACAAGTAATTTTCTATTTCCGTGTAATTTATAATACATTATTTATTCGTTTATTCACTTTTCATATCCTCAAAAAGTAGTTCTTTTCCGGACACATCCATTTTCCGTTAATTTCCTTTGTATATTTCGCAAGTGCATTAGCAATTTGTATATCGAGTTTCTTCTTGAGAAGATGGTCGACACCGTTTTTCTTGACACTAACAATCCCCAATATATCAAAGTTTACGCGAAAAAATCAAATGGAATATGGCTTCTTGTTTAAATATTCTGTTTTGTGGGCGAGTTTTATAGATGAACGGCTTTAACATTGGTTATACTTCAAGAAGCCAATATATTCCCCGTCGATTAGTCTCAACTTTTTTCCATTTTTCCTTGGACATCTGGACTTCCCAGTGATTGCGAAAAAAGAGCGAATTCATCTTTGAAGAGGGAAAAGCCGCGAGTTAGAAAAAAGTCGGTTAGCGAATTTGGGAAATTTACATTGACATAGAATTTCAAGTCGCGTCTTGAAAAATCCCGTGACAACTAATAATAATAGAACGCGTAAAAGCAATAATTTTATTACTTGTATCTGCAATTAATAGTTAACTAAAATCCTCATTTATAATCTCAATAATTTCTGACCGCAATTTTGATGTTTATAGCCATAATCTAGATGGGAATGGATTGATCCATTCATGCAAAACACCACATCTAATTTATCTTTCAGCAAGAAATTATATTATCACTTTTTACTTGCGTAGAAGTTGATGCTAATGTATTACATTGTAATGTAAAAATTGTTATAATTTCAATAATGATGCTGGTCCAAATTTACAGCGACTCAAAACTCTGATCGTGGTGATGGGTGAGTGGATGATACAAAAAAAAATTAGTTTGTCGACAACAATAAAATTTCTATCTAGAATATAATTTTAAACCAAATTGAATCTTGAATTACAATGACAAATATTCCACCACCTGCTCAACAAACTGTTTTTCGTCCTCCTACCTCGCCAAACTTTCGTCCTTCCCCAGACAATACTAACCAGCCTTTACAAGTTGGCGATGGACCACACAGAGGACCGTCGCCATTTCAACCTCAACCTCAACCTCAATTACTACCCGGTAACGTTGTTAGGCCGCCTGTTGATCCTGGACGACCTCATATACAGCAACCACCCCCACCCCCAGTAGGCTATAGACCCTCAAACTCTCCGGGAATTCCGAATCAAAATTGGGCGCCTCGACCTCCTTCAACTGGACGTCCATTCAATGCAGCGCAACCACAAATAGGGTATGGATATACACCGATTGCTCAAACACCAAACTATGCCACAACTGCAACACCACCTCTTCCTGAAATGCCAGTTTCGCCCGCAATTACTACTACTTCACCTCAACTTAGTAATGCACGTATACCTAAACGTCAATATCCAAAACAAATGGCAGAGACATATACGGAACCTACTAACATCTATGATCAATCGTCGTATCAAACTTTTACACCAGTTGCAGCACCTGGCATTCCTGGTCAACAACAAATGCCTCAGATATTTACACCTGCTGGAGATCAAAAATTTGCCGGACCAGTTCCTCCTACAGTAGCAGCACCACCATATTCAGACGTATATGGACAACCTCCAGCAGCACAAAATGCCATGGGCACTTTGGCGAATCAATTTAGTAACATGGCTATAAATGGGCAGCCTCAAGTATTACATTTATTTTATCTTCATGTCATTAAGGCATTTTTTATAACTAATTAAAAAAAACTTATGTTTTAACAACCGATGTCTTAACAAGCCTCAATTGCATACTGTCCATTTGATTGGCTTTCCTCCAAATGTCAGAGATTTGGATGCGCCGCCTCCACCAATAATTTTGCCACCTAAAGTGAGTATTTTTTGTTATTCGTTCGCGATATAATATTCATTGATTAATTTACTTTTATGAACTTTCTTGTTTTCTATAATTCAAAGTCATCGGTAACCAATTCTGAGAAAGCCAACTGTGACCCTTCATACAAAAGATGTACTTTGAATTGCATTCCTGCAACCTCTGCGCTCCTCAGCAAATCCCGGCTGCCGCTTGCACTCATTATAACTCCATATAGAAGTATAAAAGACGGCGACGTGGGTATATTGTTAAGGTTTAATGACTTTAAATGGTTTATTTTTCAACAAGCTAATCGTTTTTTATTGATTAATTTAATCCTCTAGGATCCTGTTCCAGTTATCACGGATACCGTTATTGCAAGGTGTCGGAGATGTAGAACTTATATTAATCCATTTGTGACATTTGTTGAAAATGGACATAAATGGAGGTGTAATATGTGTTTCTTATTGAATGAAGGTATTAAGTCTAAATTTTCGAACAAGGTTAATAAAGTTGAATGAGAGACTAATCGTGAAATCATTCATCAGTTCCATCTCAATTCGACTGGGATATACAAACAAATACACAAACTGATCGTTGGAAACGTGCAGAGTTGAATCATGCTGTAGTTGAATATGTGGCACCAACAGAATATATGGTATTTTTCTATATCATGTTTGATATTGAATTTTTTGATATATTTCTTTGAATTTAATGACTTTTTGAATAGGTTCGACCGCCACAACCACCAGTTTATTTATTCGTGATTGATGTTTCATATCCTGCTATTCAATCCGGTAAGCTACTACTGATATCTGGAGGAATTTTTTAATTGCACTAAATTGATTTTTTTGTATATAGGAGTTGTCGCGACAGCAGCACGTACAATATTGGAATCATTGGATAGACTGCCGAACGAGGATAATCGCACGAAAATTGGGTTTATTACTGTGGATACTTCACTGCATTTCTACAGTCTAAATGTATGTCTCATCATTGCAAGATTTATAAAACTTCAAAAGCCAATAATAGCTATTTCTTAATATAGCCCAATGCAACCGAGCCGCAGATGCTTGTTGTATCAGATCTTGAAGACGTATTTCTCCCTCAACCCGATGATCTATTGGTAAACTTGTCAGAAGCTCGGACTGTGGTTGAATCATTACTTAATCGTCTCGGAGACATGTTTAAGGATACTCAAATTGTTGGAAATGCTTTAGGTTCTGCATTATTGGCCGGGTTTAAGTTAATCGTAAGTCGAAAATGTATTTATTTATTAATTATCATTTATATTTATTACTAAATTTTTTTATATATATTAGTCTTCTTGGGGCGGCAAAATTATAGTGGTGCAGTCTAGTTTACCTAATATAAATCCTGGCGCCTTGAAAAATCGCGAAGATACAAAAGTTCTGGGAACGCCAAAGGTATATTATTCAAATGGTGAATGTATTCAAAAAACTTCTCGAAGCGTATAATTATATTAATTTCATTATTACATCAAGGAATCGGCTCTGTTGCAAGCTGCCGAACCTTTCTACAAAAAATTTGCAGTGGATTGTTCTCGTTCACAAGTTAGCGTGGATATGTTCTTACTTGGTTCTCAATATTCGGATGTAGCAACACTAAGTATGAATGTTAAACAATAAAAACAAGTTTAGTCCTCTTGCTTATAACTGATTATTTTCCTAATTATTAGGTTGTTGTCCGCGCTATACTGGAGGGCAAACATACTTTTACCCCGCTTTTAATGCTGGTCGATCGGAAGATGCACTCAAATTTGCGCATGAATTTGCTGAATTTTTAGCGAGTCCAATTGGATTAGAAGCTGTAATGCGAGTCAGAGCTTCTAAAGGTAAACAATTTTTACGATTTATGCTACGCTATACGAAACTAGTTATTTATATGCCGAGATTTTTCCTCTTAGGTATGCGTATGACCTCATTTCATGGGAACTTTTTCGTTCGACAAACGGATTTGCTCGCTTTGCCGAACGTATCGAGGGATCATTCGTATGCTATAGAGATTGCAATTGAAGAAAATATAACTACTCCGACTGTTTGTTTCCAAACAGCTGTCTTACATACAACTTGCTATGGTACGATCTAACTATCTTTGAATTTTTTCCTATTAATATATTTTTTACAAGTTTTTCAAACTACGTATAGGCGAGAGGCGAATTCGAGTGCTTACACTTGCATTACCTGTAACAAATAGTTTGAGCGATATGTTTTGTTCCGCGGATCAAGTATCCATCATCACATTACTAGCAAATAAAGGTTTGAAAAAAAATTTAAAAAAAGCTTAATATTGATGCTGATCGTCATTCATCATAAACTTTATATTTTCAGCGGTTGAACGATCTTTAACTTCTAAATTGGAGGATGCACGAGAAGCTTTGACAAATAAAGTTATAGATATTTTAGGTGTATACAAATCTGCTCTTACACCTGCACATACTGGTGCCTCACCTCAATTGCAAATAAGCGACAATCTAAAACTTTTACCGCTATTATCTTTAGGATTATTGAAACACGTAGGTATTAATTTTTCATTCATACGAGGAAAATACATTTTTTTTAATTCTTTTCCAAATCAAGGTTGGGCTTCGTGCCAGTTCCCAAATTCCTACCGACTTGCGAGCTTATGCCATGTGTTTATTGACTACAATGCCATCACAATTATTAATTCCCTACATACACCCGCGTTTCTATTCATTGCACGATATGCCATTGGAGGTATGTTAAATTGGCGTATTCTGTGCTTTTCATAGAAATTATTAATATTCAATAAATCAGGTTGGAACATATGGTCCCAATGGAATTATAATGCCCATACCATTGAATTTGACCAGTGAGAAATTGGAACGCCATGGAATATATTTAGTTGAAGATGGACAAAATATCTTCATATGGGTAGGGAGAGAAGTGTCTCCCCAATTATTAATAGATTTATTTAATTTGAGAACATACGAAGAAATTCGTGGAGGAAAGGTATGTTAATATTATTATTCACTCAAATGGAAAATGATGGTAAAACCATTTCCTCCTCTTTTGTTGTAGACGGCTTTGCCTCAACTAGAAACCTCTTTTTCACAACGAGTAAACGCTATTATTGGTAAAACTCGAGAGTCACGGCGTGGTGTATATTATCCACATCTATATATAGTAAAGCAAGATGGTGACCCTTCATTGCGATTATGGTTCCTCTCTCATATTATAGAAGATCGTACAGACACCGTTATGAGTTATGTCCAATGGTTAGGTCATTTAAAAGATAAGGTAGATTATTGGAAGATTTTTTTGCTTAGTCAATCTGCTGTTCCCTATTTTTTATTAATAAATATTTTACTTTACTGGTAAATTTAGGTTAACGCTGGCTCATTTTAATTCGTTTGGAAAACTCTTGATTTATAAAGAACTATTATTTTATTAATTGCTTAAAGATTTAAGCAAGAAAAATCGAGGTTTTATTTATTTGTTATTATCTTTACATTAAATCAGTTTTTGGTATGGGGCACACAAGGTGTTGAACAGGACGTTGTAATGTAATTAGATGTTACAGTATGTCTTTAATAGCAATTAATTTTAATCTAGATAATAATAGAATCATGATTAGATTCTATTATGTGTTAAAAAAAGTTTAATGATTACAAAATTATTGGATATAAAATTTGGTTTTTACAGAGCTTAATAATCTTATCTGCTTTAATCTCTGTATATAAAATTAAATATCAATTATAATTTCTTATTCAATATTGTTTAATTATTTTTGTAAATTATAAAATCAAATATATTAATAAATTATCTTATTTGCTATCTGTAATTTATATTTTAATAAAATATATTTATAATATTATTACAATTATGTAATAGAAATTTAAATTTTTTATTATAAAAATTTTTTAATTAAATATGTTCTATTATTTTATTAATAAAATTAAAATTTTTTATAAATAAAATAAAAATATAAATTTATATAATTATAATAAATAAGCTTTATAATATATTATTTAAATTTATTTTTAATTAAATTATATTATATAATTTTAAAATAATAATTATTATAAAGTTCTAAAAATACTGTCTCATATTACAATTATTTAGCAAGAAAGAAAAGATATCAAAATGCTATATAACTCCAAATAAGTAAGCTTTCTCTTTAAAAAGATTATAAGAAAGATAATAAGAGCTCATAATATTAATAATTCCATTATTTTCCATATTAATAAAAGATAATGAGAAAATCACTTTCTTGATAATATAAGTATTTCTGATTATCTTAAACAAACTAATATAAAAAAACTTATTAATTTAATTATCTTTTATAAATATTTAATTACTATTAAAATAAAATAAAATTTTCAGACAAATCATAATATTAATATTTCAATATTCATAATTTATCATATATTTTAAAATCATAAATTGATAATAAAAGTAAAAAAAAGAAGTTCTACTTAAGTGATAATTATAAAAAATACTAGCTAATATTCATGAAAAATCATGTTAACTGAATTATTGAAGACTGATCTAAAATTAATCTAATCTGATAAGTTCAAATTTAAAGTTTTTGAATCAGATAATATTTAATATTACTAAAAATAACTAGATAAATTATCTAAAAAGCTTATATATTAATTTTTTATTTATATAATATTAGATTTTTATATCAAATTGATAAAATAATGAATAAAGAATTATATCAAGAAATTTTATCTGATGAATTAATACAGATATTAGAATAATATAATTTATATATTAATAAATTATTAATAAAATAATAATTCTAAGCATATAATAAATTTAATAAAATAATAATAATGATAAGTTAATATTAAGTTATATAGTTTTTCTGATATAATTTCAGAATAAAATAACTTATAAAAAAATTAAAAGAATATGAAAAGAGATTGATATTAAAAAATATATTAAATTAATTAAATTAATATCAAGAAGAATTCAAAAGATAATAAAAGTATAAAAGAATTATATAAAATATTAAATATAATTTAATATATTTAGTTTAGTTAAAAAATTAATAATAAATTATAAATTTTTTAATTATTTCAATGATTTAAAATTATTTAATAAAAAAAAATAATACAATAACTAAATTTTAATATTTTTTAAATTTTTAAAATATTTTATTTAATAATTTATATTATATTTATAATAATAAAAATTATAATATATAATAAATTAAATTAATTAATAATTATAAATTAATGTAAAAAGATTTATATCTCAATATAAAAATTAATAATTACTTCTAATAAAAATTATTCAAATTTTAACTAATCTTTATAATTTTTTTATATTAAA